CCCCTCCCAATCCACCTCTGTCTCTTTCTCTCCACCCTAACCGATGCTTGAAACACTTTCAGGAGAGACAGGCGCGAATCGACCGGATTGACGAGATACGGAAAACGGGGCGAGCGCGAGGTGGCCGCGATGCACGACTGCCGCTTAACCGCGGGACTCTTTATCTTTTTTTTGCCCCTCCTCTCTATTTCACCGCCATTTCGCCCGATTTGTGTGCAGGTTAAGTGCACCGCGATATCTGTGCCAAAAGCGGAGTCGGTGGTGTGGAGCTTCGCCGGTCGCGAGCTCAATTTCACGTCGAACAATACGCCGTTCTACGTGCAGGAGGAATACACGGCCGAGAGGGTAATCAGCACTGTCACCCTCCTGGATCCCATATCGACGTACTTCGGAGATTACAACTGCACGGTCACGAACAGCTTCGGCACGGATTCCGTCATAATCAAGCTGACGGCACACAGTAAGTTTATACACGCCGTTAAAGTATCGCCCTTCTCAGGATCGCGCCTTATCTGCTGCTCTAATAAACCCTCTGCTCGAAGAAGCTCGCCTGCATAAGACGTGCGACAATAAACAGTTGCTTAGCAAATAGCGAGCGATATTTCTTGTCGAGAGGCGACGTGACGTCTCCGCCAAGAATCTCTCAATGACCGCTTCGATATTGCCTCCGTGACTTTCGCGACACGCCTCGGGATTAGATATATTTAATTACGTTTCTCGAATAACCGCTATAAATAAGCCCTATTATTTCTAATCAATCAGAGAGAGAGAGAGAGAGAGAGAGGAAAAAGGTCTTATCATCCGGCTATTTTTGCACGCCCTCTTTCAAAGCTTATGTATAATACGCAGAGTAAGTTTGACGCAAGTTATAGTAAGAAATAAAAATAATTTATTTCGCTTACGCGCCTGTGCTTTAACCTCCTTACTCTGGAAGTATTTCTCTTACTTGAGAGAAATACTTCCTGTATAAGAGAGTTAGAGTATAGGCGCGTAAGCGAAATAAATTATTCTTATTACTTGCTCCAACTTACGCCTAGCTTGCTCCGCTTATTATTATAGTCGAGCCTCCAGTCGAGTCGCGCTTTCTCGCGTTCGCTTAAAAATTAATTTCTTATCATGTATCGATCTTCCTGATCTTTCGAAGAATCTTTGCATCCGCGGCGAGAAGTGTCGCTACGTCCGTGACGCGATCAACAGAACATACATGTAACATCCATATATAGGAACATCCGACGCCGCGATTCCACGTTGTGGCGTTGTTATTATGAGAAATGTAATGCTACAATTCTAAGCAGAATCATAAGTCGTTCTTGTTCTCGTAACTTGTTCTCGCAAAATTCGTCAGAGTAACTTACGAGTAGATTTACAAGTCTATGCAATATCATATGTCGTACAATCATTTGTAAATATCATAAATTACATGAAATCGTAGATATTTATAATATCGTAGATATTTATATCGAGTAATTATACGACATATGATATTGCATAGACTTGTAAATCTACTCATAAGTTCTGACGGATTTTACGAGATCAAGTTACGAGACTTACGATTCTGCTTAGAATTGCAGCATAAAGCGAGGAGCACACACTCTTGCATAAAGGCATAATGCACAACGCATAAGAAAATTGATCAATCAGAGTCCTTCAGTTTCATCGTGGCAATAGAAATGAGGATTCTGATTGGTTAATTATCTTGTGCGTTGTGCATTATGTCTTTATGCAAGAGCGTGTGCTTCCCGCTTAAATCTGACACAAGACTCACACATACTGTTGTCTCGTCGACGCTGCAGAGGGGAGAGGGGGATCGCGCCAGCCGGTTAGTCGTTGTAGCAGTTCCTGGATGCTCCTTTTCCGATGCTCCCAATGCGGAATGACGTCCATGGAATCAATTAGGCGGACGAGCGTTGCAGGATACACGACTCGCGTACTTTAACACGGCTTCGAAAGGGTCTACGGTTCTTACAATCCTTATAGAAAAATATCACTGGCTGTAATAAATTGGCCAGTAATAAAATTGGCCAGTAAACTAGTAATTTTCACTGGCTAAATTATCACTTATTAGTATTAAATTTCTATAAGGGAACACGACGGCGACACGCCGATCGTCAGACGCGAGACACGAGCACTGACGCTGTCCGGCCGAAATAATACACCACGACGGTCGCGCGTCACTAGGTTCGACACTCCCGACACTCGTCCGTGGCGCGAAGCTCGCCCGAGAAGGATATAGAGGACGCGGAAACACGGAGCGATCGCGACTCGACCACGCACACAGACGCCATGTCGCGATAAGTGAGTAACTGAAGCGCGGGTAAACAATGGCGATTCAAAGGCGATCACGTGACCCCTCAATTGGACGCGCAGGAAAATCCGCCAGGTGGGTGATCAATCCGCGATCGTGCAGGCTGATTTACACATCGAGACCGACATGACGACGCGATCCTTCACACACTCGGCATTCTCACGGCACCCGTGGAACGAAAACGTGCTGCGAAATTCGCGGAACGCGCGCGATACAGACGGATTTTCGCGAGAAGGGACTTTTGTAAGCATCGGCGAGATGGATTAATCGTCGTACGCGCTAATTAACACGCCGATTCCGTCGTGTGACGCGACTGTTTCGGCGCTCTCAATACACATCAAACGAGCAAAAGCGAGACTGAAACTCGCGGGACATGCGTGATACAGAGTTAGGTTTTTCGTTGTAATTGTTTCGAGTGACGGATAGACATCGAAGTATTTACAGCGTTAAGTGGACCCAGACAAATTTTACTTACATTGACTCGGGGGGACAGAGGGGCGAACACCGATCACGAATGTCGGCGAGAAGCGTTAATTGCGGCTGCACACGCGAATTAATACACTCAGACGATCGCGTGTCACTAGATTCGACACCTCCGACACTCGTCCGCGCGCGAAGCTCGCCCGAAAAAGGCAAAGAGGACGCGGAAATGCGGAGCGATCGCGACTCGAACGCGTACACTGACGCCATGTCGCAGTAAGTGAATAACTGAAGCGCGGGCAAACAGTCGATTCAAAGACGGTCACGTGACTCCTCAATTTGGCGCGCAGGAAAATCCGCCAGGTGAATGATTAATCGCGGTCGTGCGGGCTGATTTACAATAAAAGGAATACGGAACAGGGAACAGAGAATAAGGAATAAGAAATACTAAAAACAAGAAACATAGCTATTCCTCCGTTCCTCTGTTCTGTGTTGATGAATTAGGTTTTATGCTTTAATATTGAACTGTTTCCTATTCTCTGTTTCCTGTTCTCTATTCTCGATTCCCTATTCCTTATTGCTTTTATTGCTCAGCCCCTAATTGTTTCGAGTGACGGATAGACATCGAAGTATTTACAGCGTTAAGTGGACCCAGATAAATTTTATTTACATTGACTCGGGGGAACAGAGGGGCGAACGTCGATCACGAATGTCGGCGAGAAGCGTTAATTGCGGCTGCACACGCGAATGAATACACTCAGACGAAGCTCGCCCGAGAAAGGCAAAGAGGACGCGAAACGCGGAGCGATCGCGACTCGAACGCGTACACTAACGCCATGTCGCAGTAAGTGAGGCGCGGGCAAACAGTCGATTCAAAGACGGTCACGTGACCCCTCAATTTGACGCGCAGGAAAATCCGCCAGGTGGATGATTAATTGCGGTTGCGCGAGCTGATTTACATATCGAAACTGACATGCGACGCGGTCCTTTGCACTCTCAAATTTTATTTACATTGACTCGGAAGGACAGAAGGGCGAATACCGATCACGAATGTCGACGAGAAGCGTTAATTGCGTCTACACGCGCCAATTAATACACTCAGACGATCGCGCGTTACTACAGATTCGACACTCTCGACACTCGTCCGCGCGCGGAGCTCGCCCGGGAAGGGCAAAGAGGATGCGGAAACGCAAAGCGATCGCGACGCGACCGACGCCATGCCGCTCTGACTAAAGCGCGGTTCAAGCGCGGTCACGTGACCCTTCAATTTGGCGCGCAGGAAAATTCGCTAGTCGAGTGATTAACCGCGGTTGCGCGCGCCAATTAAGACATCGAAATCGACGTGTAACACGATTTTTAACATTTCCGACGCTCGGCGAACGAGCGAACAATTGTGAAACCCGCGGAATGCGTGTAACGCAGGTGGTCTTACTTGTATTGGCGAGCTTGTGGGAGGAAGGGATGAGCATCGATCGCAAATATCGACGGAACATATTAATTACGGTCGCGCCAATTAATATACACGAAGCTCGTCGTTGGACACGACGATTTTCGACACGTTCAGCGCTTTTGACATTCTTCAAACGAGCAAACGGCTGTGAAATACACAAGATGCGCATAAAGAAGAAAAATGTCAGAGAAATAGTAAATATCTATTCGTGGATACTAGCGTATTTACTTAGATATCAACTTTTTTATTTAAATAGGATGAACAATTGTTTTCATGACAAGCTAAGGTTTTCTCAAAGTTTTAAGAAAATGTATATTTTCTCACTTGACAAATGTTTTATATTAGTACAAGTAAATATGTTATTGCGTGTGTGATATCCACCACGAATATAAATATTTACTATTTCTTAGATATTTCTTTTTCTGCCAGTGTAATAGAGAGGAATGTTATCTGTAATGACAGGTTCGGAAGGGGCGATCACGAATATCGACGAGACACATTAATCGCGTTCGCGCGCGCGCTAATTAATAGACTGAAACCGCCATCTGACGCGATTCTCGACACTTCCAGCGCTCTTAGCACGCATGAAAACGACTGCGAAATCCGTATAATAAAGACGGCTCTTACCTTAATTGGCGAATTCGGTGAGGGAAACGCGAGGGAAGTCGACCACGAATATCGACGAGACGGATTGATCGCGCGCCGATTAATAGACCAAGACGACCGCCGTCGTTGAATTCGACACTGTCGGTGTTCGTCGCGCGCGAAATCCACCCGGGACGGGTAAAAAGGACGCGGAACTCGCGGCAAGACAGATGAAAAGGACGCGGGAAGTCGCGGTTCGGCCACGCACCGCTGCGTCACCATACAGCGCCGCGGTGCACTCGAGACAATCGATTACTATCGACAGAATCGATACGTGACCGATGGAGTTCACGCGACAAGGCCTGAGCGCAAAGATTGTCGCAATCGTTTCCGAAAGACGTGTTCGAACAAGTTCGGACCTTGTGATTTTTTGGAACGTGTCTTGGAATTTTCCATGACTTTACTCTCGAAATACATCATAAATCAGAATAATGGCGTTGGGGCATAACTCTTAGAGAGGCCTGGAGCCAAATATTGGAGTTGAAGTTGAAGCAATCGTTTCCGACAATGTCGTAGACGTAAATCGATGTCGGAAGTCAACGCACAAGGATTGACGTAGACGTATGCTGCATCAATTGTGTCGTCTAATTATATTTGATACAATATACGTCTACGCACTGAGAGAAAAAAATAGTTGGAATAACTATAATCTCATTATATTTTATAGTTCGTTTTGGCCTCAAACATATATTTATAGTTCATCTAAATATGAAGATATAGTAGAATGAACACAGATTTATAGTCACCATCTTATTACTCTATATATATGATAAAGCACCTTTGGGAATATAGTTACATGTACCTATATTTGCCAAATATTCCAATTGTGTTGACTATATAAAATAGTTAATTTCTCTTACCATTCAATATTTGCTACCTTACTATGTTTTTTATTTCAAATAATTATAATTCTTGGTAAAAATTTTACACGGGTCAGTTATACTATGCTTATATTGTAAATATTACAAATATTATGGTAACATTTACTATAAAAATTATATTCCTAACTATAATAAACTATCTTTTTACTATGCCATTGTAGTTCCAAATATCATACATTTTTCTCTCAGTGCGCTAATCCTTGTGCGTTGACTTTCGACACCGACAGTGTCTACGATACTGTTGTAAAAGATTGCGACAATCTTTGTGCTCAGGCCCATACACGGAAATTCGCTGAGGAGACGCCATTAGTCGAGTCAAACCGGAGTGCGACGACATGAGAAAATTCCTTTCGACGAGGCGGCGGCGTCTTATCAAGTTAGCTAATGAGAATAATTCACGCGTCTCGCCCCGGCAGAGAGGCCGACTCGCCGACGGACCGTGCTTGCAATATTGTTTACATGAATAAAAGCGGAGTGCGGGCGCTCACGTGTGCTAATGTCGCCGTGAACAATGACGCTATATAACGAAAGGCTGAACTATCGGAGTTCGTGCCACTCGATATTCGTCCGCGGCGAGTCGCGTGTAAGCGTGTTAGTGTCGCGCGCGCGCTAAAAACAAAACACCGATCCCTCTCCTCCCCCCTCCGGCTCTCCTCTAATAATAGCGGCGTATAAGTGGGGTGTAAAATATTCCTCGGGAGAGCAATGCACATCGATCGCGCTCCGTTCCGCGCAATTCAAGGACACTCTCTATCTTTAACGTTCCCCGAGTCGGTCGTTTGACAATTCGGACGCGCGTCCTGAGGATGTCGATCGGGACGTGCGATCGTAATCCGCGATCGCGCCACTTCCGCGGAGCGGCTCGAAAAGAGAGAGAACGGGTCGTCGCGACTGCGAGACGTCACATTGGGAGCAGAGAGGTCTTAATTTTACGAGGACGGCATCACACGGCGATATTAACGATCACGAGAAGTCGTGTTTGCTCGTGGAACGGACGGTTTAAGTGGACGAGAACAAATGCACCTTACACACACGCGCGTGTAGAGTGTCTGTCCGCTTTGCTGCGGCCTCTCTCGCGTTTCATGGTATTAAATTTCAACGGACTACGGACCTCTGCACGGAAGAAAAATGATTTTTTTCTTCTCTTACGACGCGGCACACTCGCGTTGAAGGAAAATAGATCTTAATGCGATGAACGAGTCCGTCGTCGAAAAGTAAGACAGCGAAAGCAGAGTTTCTTGTACATACACCGGGGATATGTTACAAGCGCGCTCGTTGACAACGAAGTGTTGATAACATTACGATAACATGATTACGTGACAACGATAACATGACAAATTTGTGTATATATTCGTCGTATTTTGCACGGTATATTCATAGAAGCAAGTATAAATCGACTCAGATTAGAGGCTATAGATAAATCGATTCAGTTTTCCGGGCAGACTTAAAGTGCTAAAATATACATAGATGATTAGATAATGAAATATTGCCAGATCGTCTTTCTTTTTTTATACCAATATATTCACAACGAGATACGCAAATATCTCGCGTGCGCTCGACAATTAGACGATAAAAGAGATACATTTGAATATTTCGTGGAATTTCATAAATTATAAAGTCTCATATATACACTGAGAGAAAAAGTATCTGAATAATGAAAAATATTCATTTACTATATACTAATAATATACTTTGTAAATCTAAATTAGATTTTAGAAATCTAAATTAGAACAGAGATGTGAAAATTATTAGAATAATTTTGATTTCTTTATTTTCTATAATAAAGAGGTCAAAATTATTCTAATAATTTTCACATCTTTGTACTTTGTTTAACACAGAATACACAATTGCTTTCTAACTCATTAATTGCAATTCTAATTAAAAAAACACCGTACTTTCACGAAAAGTAACCGTTTTTATTAAAAAATATATAAATTATATTTATAAATACTTATAAATATTTTTTTATTTATATATTATTTATATATTTTTTTTTCTCTTTATATTATTTATATATTATAATTTTTTATAAATATTCTTTGTAAACATACATATAATATTTGAGAAAAATCTTTTTCTATGTAAAAATAAGTAGCACAAGTAAATATTTTGTTCATCGAATAAATATTTCTTATTTCTTCCGATGGTTTTTCTCTCAGTATACCTATTGTATCAACACCAATAGCCATTTATTATTGCCGTGATATTTGGAGCATCAGTAAGAAGTGTGTTAAAACGCGACCATGATTCATACCTATGAATTGATATTTCGTTTTTACAACGCGACGTCCATTGCAATCGCAAATAGGTTTTCCGTGCGCGGAAACCAAACAAGATGCTTTTTTCTCCCCTCCCTGCCCACCCGCTTTTTTAATTTTACGCAATAATTTAAATCCCCTCTCGCAATGATTTAAATCCTCCTCTCTTTTGCGCGCTTCACAGTGCCCCGGGAGATCACAATTTGCTGGGGTAATGCAGCCGTGGCGAAACGCTTTGTCGCTCCTCGCGCTTCTAAAAGATCAGAGGGATTCTAGGTCAGCTCATTTGCACAGACAGCTCTCCGGTTAATGATTTGCAAACTACTTTAATCGCCACCGCGATCAAATAATCGCCCTCGATAAATGTCCCGCTGTTAATAACTTCAGCGTGCGTTACATCAAACATTACGGCACTGGCCGGGTCGTGTTTAATTACAGCCGTTTCGCGCTATTTAATTCCGGAGAGCGTCGATTTATCGTCGGTATAAAACTATGCGTTTTGTTTTTCTTTCTTTTTTTTTTTTTCTCGTGTGGATCTCCCGTCAACTCGGCTCCATTAAAGAATTAAAGCGTGTCGACTTGTCAAGAAACGTTATCGAAGTATCTCTTCCGAGTATCGCGTCGCAAAATACTCTTCCGCTTGAAAAATACACGAATAAATAGGAAATAGAAGCAGAGATGAGAAATAGAATAAACATCAACGATACAAATATTGCGCTCCCGTGTAAAAACGTCGCGTTTATTCTGATACAAATAATTGAGTAACGAGACAAATATAAAATCGAACGTGTGTATACAATTGTCGCTCCTGGCGAGCCCGATTGTTTTTCGAACACTTCTGAGGCGAAATGCGCGATACGTTAGCGAGTAGGCAGCGCGCGTTGCTCTTCATTTGGCAAACGAGATTTTAACTAGGCGTGACGCTCAGCGTTGATTCCAGTCGATTGGCAGCTGATTTTGATCATCGTCGGGCTGGTTGTCTGCGTGGTCCTAATTGGCGTAATAGTCATACTCATTCTACAATGTCGCGATCGTATTAAGCAGCCACGACCGCGGACGGCGCAGGCTCAGGAGACCGATATGCGTAAGTAATCAACTTCAATAGTTCTAACACACAAACACGCGCACTTTGTTCGCCAACTGACGTTCCGCGCGAATAGAATTGTCGGTGAATCGCACAGCCAATTCCAATTCAAATTCTCATCGCACGAATGTCTTAAAGATGTATTGCCCGTATAGATGTATAATCCCTGTAAAAACTCACTGGAGATTAGAAATATTTCTATTTTAACATATAAACGTATTATTTTTTCCTTTACACTATAATATATTTCCATAACAGCATGAGCAAAAATACTTTCAAATAGGCAGAATTCCGTCAAATGACGTCTCTAACGTCAGAAATACGTCATTATTAGATTATTTCACGTCATCATGTTTGTTGGAGCTTACACTTCAAAGTGAAATAACTTTTGATCCAAGCTCTGAATTAATCTCAATTTAATTTCTAATTATTTGAGTTATTTTTAAATTCAATATAAGCTAATCTATAATTTTTCTAAAATCATTACATTATTTCTAAGATATAAGCAATACATCCTTAGTATACTGACTGTCATATTACATATTACATAAACATGTGATACATAAACACTTTTGCAGGCGCCATATTGTATACATGTATATATAACTATATCTATAAACTGAGAGATAAAATATCTGAAATATAGAATATATTTATTTAGTGAGTACTAATAACATCAATATAAATTCTTTTGTTTAAATAGAATAAATAGTTGCTTTCATAAAAAGAAAACCACGGTTTTAGGAAAATATATATTTTCTCATCCAAAAGGAAATTTTTCTCAATGTGAAAATGTGTATATTAGTACAAGCAAATATATTATTAGCACTCATCAAATAAATATCTCTTATTTTTTAGATATTTCTTCTCTCAATGCATATAAACGTGCGATACATTTGAATAAATAACAACATATTTTTACTTTAACGTAATCTTTTTATAGTTTGTCTTATATTATATTGTATTATTATTCTGACTTTTAAATTTTTATCTCTGAATCGCGATGAAACTTTTCATGTAACATTTTGAATACTTAAAGAATCGAAATTTTTGTCATTATTATTTAACTATCTTTTCCTTTACTAAGGATAGCACTATCACGTATTTCCATAACAGCACGAGCAAAAATACTTCCAAGTAGCCATACGGAAAAAAAGGTTTGGTTAAATCAACCAAATATCAACCGAATATGAACAATCCAGAAATTCCGATTATAAATAACCCGAAATAACCCGAATTCTATTAAAATTAACAAGATTTTTGGTTGACTTAAACAGAATTCGGGTTACTTCAATCGGAATTTCTGGATCGTTCATATTCGACCAGATATTCGGTTAATTCAACCAAACCTTTTTTTCCGTGTAATATACGAACATCTTTTAAAGCGCCAATATTACATAATTATCACACTATACCTAGAAATTTTTGGAAATTGGTGACACTAGCACCATCTTTTTTAAGGAACTGCAAAAGAGAAAAAATTGGCGTTAAGCTCTCGTGAGAACCCTGTGGTAGTCAACGTATTAAAATTCAGGATGTGCTCACACATGTGCATCGATCTCAAGCTTTTCTTTCTTGTCTACACAGAGGAAACCGACTCCAATGCCGATCGATACAGAGAAAGCGACAGGAGCAGTAACCTCTCGGATGTCAAAGCGGACATTCGAGCGGGATCCAGTGTCAGCAACGCAGAAAGTGTCACAGCTCTTGACAGCGAAGGCGAAGGAAGTACGAGGGGGGTGAACGCCTTGGCTCTTGCCGGACCGGTGCCGAATCCGCTGGGTTATCGTTACAGCGCTGATTACACCGAGCCCTCGTTCCCGCCGAAAAATAACGTGAGTGATTTACCGTCGATCTTGCGTGTCTCACGGCACGTTTATTCGACGCTTCAGTGTAATCGAACGCGCTCTTTTATCGAAAGCTTCGCATATTAACACTTTGACGGCCGCACTTAACGTGCCAAATTTTTTGCAAATCTTTTTGCCCGTCACCGGCAGATCTCGCTTAGAGAACTCGCTTGGACGCTATCTGAAGAGATAGATATCAAATCCTGTTTGTCAAGTCCGTAAATCTACCTTTACATTTCCTCTACACGGAGAGAATTTGATGGTAAAAATGATTATATATAAAATTTCATAACCAAGAAATATATCGATATTCCGTAAATCTACCTTTACATTTCCTCTACACGGAGAGAATTTGATGGTAAAAATGATTATATATAAAATTTCATAACCAAGAAATATATCGATATTCTGCAATAATAATCCAACTTACAAAATTCGAGTTTTTGTTTTGTTTTTATCAATAGATAGTTCATACCTTTTTCTACATAAAACAGAAGATTCAAACCTTATGGGCGCCTAAAACTCATTAAAAACTTTTATTTTCTGCTAGTTGCATCATTTTTTATTAGTTACGTATATTTTATCCATTTCTTAAGAGTTAAATTTGTCAATGAATACCTATAAAAAGAAAAAAATTGACCATGCTTGACTTCTTGAACGATTGCGAGGAACTTCAATACTATCTATACTTCCATCTATATCTATCAAATTTTCATCTCCATTTTCCTTGAAATGTATTTCATGTGAGTTGAATCATTCTTACACAACTACGGCCAAATTTCCTGCAGCAGACAGTAGCCGCTGGTACACAGAAAGAGAATCTCAATTCGGGTAATCGAACGGGGGCCAGAGGAAAAACTCGCTGACGAGAAATAACATCTCCGTTACTGTGATCGAAAACATTCATCTGAACATTCAGCTGCATTAAAGCTCGGTTGAGATAACCGGGAGCAATCGGCTGAGTAGAAACCTCCTGCAGGGATCTTTCTGCTCCTATGAGCGAGTTTTTCATCTGGTCCCCGAGTGACGGAAAATTCAGTTACACTCAACAGCCGTCCGTCAAAGTGTTAAGAGTGACGCGAACGCGTCAGATGCAGATCTGAGAATAGATCAGCGCGTGCGTCGCGTTCATTTGCGCCTCGAACGTTGCGTGCACGCAACTGTTCAGTTCGTTGTTCTGAAGGTAAGACTGTGACATGTGTTTCTGTAGGATGGTAGTAACAACAATGGTTACGTGCCATACGTTGACTATACACGCGATTATATGCCACCGACGACACAGGGCATAGGCGCGTCGCGGGAGTCCTTGAGCAGGATACCGTCGGGCGGTATTCTGGCGTCGAAAAAGATCGGCCTCAGCTCGGCCAATCTGGGCGCTTCGACCCCGCAGACGACGCCGGTGATCGACCCGCGATTTTCCGCAACGTATGGCAATCCCTACCTCAGGTAAGCCGACATGCATAATATCCCTGTATTGCGATCGCATCGCCCCTCCCTCCCGAGCAATTCTGGAAGGGAGACAGGGAGGAGGAGAAATAAAATTAAAAAAATTAAATTCACCCTGCGACCAAAAACCGGATAAAATCCGATCAATATTAGACATTCCTCGCCGCGATCCTCGGGCGACTGTAATATCGTGAAATTTCATTCGACGGAATCCTCCGGCGCTCATTCGTCGGACGTAATAATACGCGAATAATTCGTCTCGCTTTTTCGCTGAAAGGCTCGACTGCGCGGAACGTGACGATTTCTAATCGAGAGAGGGAAGCTCCCGCCTTAGAGAATGTAATAGAGCGTGAATGTCAAGTCTCGAGAGATAACTCCGTCTCATCGAAGTTCCAAAATTTCTGAAAGTGTCAACATAGTCGAGGAATGGGGAGAGAGAGAGAGAGAGAGAGATAGGGGGGAAGAGAGTGCGGAGAGCTCGTGGTAGACAGCGCGAGTGCCGCGGACTAATTATAATTGGCCCGTGCCATTGATCGGCCGCGGATACCTCAGGCGATGTCACGTTCCGTTTACGTACACTACGAGCGGGCGCGGGTGACGCTTGTCATCCCCGAGCGCGAGAATCTCGCGCCGTACGTGCCGGGAATGTGTCGTCGCGAACGACTAAATTAGATATGAGTGGTGCGCGGTTTCGCCTCCCCGTGCGCGCCCGGGGGAGGACGATGCGCTCACCTCCCTCGGAAATATTACGGAGGCGCGACGATTAAAAAACCAAGCCGCGGCGAGGAGAGGAGCAGGGGAAAGGGAATATTCCCGCGGAGAAACAGAGTGCGAATTCAATTCATCCTGCATTCGCGCGCGAATCCCGCAGGCTCCATCGGGAATTCGCCCTCGGCTCCCCTCCCCTGCGCTCCTCGAAATCGTCGACCTGTTAAGGAGTTTATTCACCCGAAGTCGAAATGTTCAGGATTGCGCCTAAATTTTATGCAACATTCGTCGCGGCGAAACGCATCCGTACACCGGAGAAAATTAGTTTTGTATTTGGAACTAAAATTTTTGTAAATATGATTTTTTAATCGTATCGCAGGTTTTCCATTTGTGTCAAGAACATGTGTTATTGAGAGAGCGAAGCACACGTAGCGATAATTAGATCCTTTCATTGCAAATTCCAAACATTTGGTTGATCCCGTTTTAATTAAATTATGGTATACACGGAGAGAATATTGTAATAAAATAATAATATAATAAAACGTGGTAAAAATAATCATAAACATGACAATTTTTACTAAATGTATAGTAATTTTTAATATCATGAAATCAGTTTCAAGTTAAGATTTATTATTTAGACAATGAGACAAATATATAAAAACAATTTCGTTCAATGAATAGTGAATTTATGAGTACACTGAGAAAAAAATTTACTAAATTTCAAAAAACGTTTGAGTGGATAGTACTGTGAAGATATTTGTTTAAATTAAGTAATTATTTTCTAAAATTAAAGAAACAAATTTATATTTAAAACTACTTTATTTAATTTTAGAAAATAATTACTTAATTTAAACAAATATCTTCACAGTACTATCCAAACAAAGGTTTTTTGAAATTTAGTAAATTTTTTTCTCAGTGTAGTTCTCTTGATACTCCACCGAAAGTACGCTAATTGAGCGCTTTGAAAACATATATCTGATGAATAAACTCCTTAAATTCGGAGGAGCTTCCCTTTCGAAAACGTTTATACAACAACAGCGCCGGCGAAGGACGATCGCGCATAAAGATCCGAGACGTCTCGCTGTTACGTTTAGATAAACTCGGCACACTTCGCCGTGTACGTGTCTCACCACCTTCTTTCCGTTTACCTTTTCCTCTCGCAGCGGGGAGAGAGGGGAGAGAAAGCGCAAACAACGACCATCTCACGTGTTTTGTTTCAATATGGCGTCGAGGCCGAAACCGCTTCCGAGTCAAATAGGTCGGCGATACGAATCGAGACGACGCGGCGGTTCTCCCGGAGTTCAGTTCCGGTCGAAGAATCTGGATCAAGGGGCGAACTCATTATGGCTTCGATTCGGGTCCGCAGTTATAATGCAGTTATAGAACAAATCCGGCGGAAGGGAGAGAAAAAGAGGGACAGGTGGAAGTCTGATTGAGACTGGACTTTCCGGTCTGGCACTTTGTCCGGCACCGTTTCTGTCGGCCCGAAACCGGCGAAGATGTAGAAATCGCGGAGAGACCTTTCGCAACTGCGAACCCGTATCGAAGCCGGAACTTTGGCAACTACGTTGAAGTAAATTCGGATCCGGTCTATACGCGTGTCACCTCTCTGTTGCCTCTCGTCTGCACCGCGAATTGCCTCGTCGCGCAAACACAGGACTAAAGGCACTTTTCTTTAACACTAGAACACTATCAAAGCGATCAAAATGACTGGTTGAGTAATTTTTCAAAAAAATTATTCGAGTTTATAACGGCGTATTTCATATCTCTATTTGATATATTACATAAAATAAATAAGTACTTTTTCATTAAATAATATAAGATTACATGCATATTAAACAAATAAATTAACACTTTTCCCTTTGTGTATTTTTATAAAAAAAAATCTGTAATTTCGATTGTTCTGGTAGAAATAGGTCGTTAGTCGTTGGTGCTTTTAATTGACTTTGAAACTCTTTGAACATTTTTCAGATCGGCGTGCTTACTCTGGGTTTCCAGAGATAAAAAGTTACAATTATAAAATTTTTATTCTTTTTCGAATTATTCCATAAATCAGTAGAATTGAGGTCAACTTACGTGTGATTTTTATACTAAAAATTTACTCCAAATTTTGTGAATTATACTGATCCAAAAGATATAATCTCATATTTAGCGAAGTTCTCTAAAGATTCCTAGAAGTTTTTATTTTTATGTATTGTCTCAAGAGAATTCTGTTCTCTCTTTTTCTCTCTCTCTCTCTCTCTCTCTCTCTCTCTCTCTAAAACTAAAGAGAAAATAATTTTAAAGGTTCCCTGCAGAAGCCAAAAGCAAATCGTGATTTGATTTTGGAGGCCTCGAGCGGTGAGAGCGTTCTGTGTGCTATATTGAATATGTTCATACACACGCGAATATTAATACATCGCTCATGCGGACGCAACAGCTGCAAGTTAGTGCAGCTGCGCTACACTTTCCATGGTATCCGCAACTTGACGTGTATTTTGCCTCGCCAACACTATATTTGCTCACCAAATTTTTTTTTGGCATCTCCTTTGCACAAGCAGCAGGGGTGCTACAGAGCTCGATTTTACATTTAAGCCCTTGGAAATTTGTAATAAATAAAAATATTAGCTAATGCTGCACCGCGAATATTCATTCAAATAATTCTATTTTTATTGCGATTTTTCTCCAAAAAATGCTGTGGCCCTTTGCGGATGTTTTTCCTGATTACAAATATCACAAATACAAGACGATTCTCTCTGCATTTCGATCAAAATACATCAAATGTTTTTGCCTATTTAGCGGCTTTCGCGAGAGGTCTTCACTACGACTGCTGCAGGCTTTTAAAGTTAGAAGAATGTCGTCTTTTATTTGCAAGTCTTGTTCTTAATAGAAATTTCTCCCTCACAGTAAGAGAGTTCAAACAAACACATATTCCTCTTGATTCAAAGGGTAAAAAATTAAAATATCTAGTAGATTTCCAATTAGATCACTTCATTGAACGAGCAATACTTCTTGAGTAAGAGTCTTCACTTAGAATATGAGATTACAGGAAATAGCATCTCGCAACTAGAGCTTTTTTTTGGCCATTGGAATACTTTCCTTTTGGTTTCAGAAGAATCTCCTCTTGAGGCCACACATAAGTGGATTTCGCTAAGGATGAGATTATATTTTTTTAGGTGAAGAGAAATACATTTTTGGTAAAATGTTTTTGCTTAGAATATGTGATTTTAAGAAATAGCATCTTGCAACTAGAATGCCTTCTCTTGAATATACACATCCCAAAGATCTGAAATGAATGGCGGGATAGCGAGTTCAAAGGGTTAAAGAATCGAAGGGGCAGCCGACGACAATCGGTACAATTGGCGGCATATGTCATACACATCTCGAAAATAATCGCCATCTGTTCTTTCTTTCAATTTTCTATGAGACCCGTCGGGAGGCAGCTATTAATCACGGACACTCGGTACCCGGGGCGAAACGGCGTCGTTACGTCCCACGTAACGAAGACGTTAATGACCACGCCGTCTGTTGTTGTATGACCCAGAGACCCGGCCCGGGAGCTCGGTCGACGATCCGGTACAGTCGTTGTCTTGCGCGTCCCCCATGTATCTCCCATTTAAATTCCGACGCTCCTGGAAAAATCCGATTTACCGTCTAACTTCCAGCATTTCTTTGCAAACGAACAGAATGTCAGCGGCCGAGCAGCTCCGACACGCGCCGCACACAGCCGTGCCGGGAGTCACGCCAGCACCGCCGCCCTACACGCAGGCAATGAGAATGAATAGCTTGAATACCTTGAACGGCGCGGGCCCGCAGGTTGGTACAATGGTGAATGTATGTCAAATTCCTAAACGTAGTTACACCGCCGCCGTCGCCGCCGGAGTTGCGGAGCTTCGTGCAACTTGGAGTAGGTCGGCCGGGGAAGAAGGGGGCGAACTGTCAATATCGCGAAGCTATTGCAACTGCACGCGCCACTTTTATTTGCAACGCTAATCCTTTTCCGCGTAGTCATTCCAATTTCGCATTGCGCACGTGCGCCGTTTCAAATTGTTTTTCCGTCCCGTTCCCGGTTTGTGCGCGCGTGCTCCCTCGCGCGTAAGACGCAACACGCGAGGTGCGTCGCGACAAAAGGATCCCAGATTTAATAATCGGCCGCGTTTCATCGACAGCTCGAATTAATCCCGCAGAGTGCGCCAACGCTGCGTCAAAGAATGCGCGCGTTGTCGGTGCTTTCAGCGTTTGCACACGCGCGTGCATCGCGGGGGTTGGGACGGAGATCGCTATGAAGGTATACAGCGGATTGGCGTGCTCCCTTTGCCACTTCGAGCCGTCCGATTTGGGCCGATTTTAACTGGGCGTCCTGGGGTCACGCGCGATCACAACTGGGACGCTGGGTGAAACAAAAGGCGCGGAAAAATGGACGGTGTACGCGAGTCATAGACGTGTAATATCCATAGACCGCGCGATCCCTACGGCTGCTGCAGTCAAAACGCGTCAAAAAATATAGAAAGAGAAGGCCGCTGTACGATCATCAACCTGTCTTTCTCTAACGACGCGTGGTGAGATGAAAAAGTCCTCGTTGACTGAGGAAACAAAATAGCAGAAGAGATGAAAAGGAATGTGGGGGAATTGCAAGACGTGGAGAAAAATACGGATGGCACATCTGGCGAGATTTAAATGGGGATTCACATCTCGACAGAAAAGCAGAAAACAGAAAGGCAGAAGTCAATCAGAACTCGCGCTGATGATTAGATGGTAGTCTCAGTTTCTGCTTTTCTACCAGCGCGAGATCTGATTGGCTAACGCCTTTCTATTTTCTGTTTCTCTGCCAAGGTGTGAGTCTTCTCTCTAGAGACGCTACGTCTCACGGCAAACATGTAGTCAGCGGAGAGAAGCTGAAATCCTCACTTTACAATGTCAGACAAAGACAGAATGGTGACGCAAAGCATGCAGTCCCTGTTCAATTTTTAACGTCTTTTCAGCCAAATGCGCAGTATAGGTATTGCACGTCTGCGATGCTAACCGCGCGGCGGCGGTATTTAAGTTGGCGATAATGCGTCACACGTTCGGGAAAGCCCCGGCGACGCTTAATTACTTCGGCACGGCGGCAAATTTTCAATTTTTCGCCACCTAAGCGAGAAAAAGCGGCGCGATAACATAGTTGAAATTTATATTACGCACTTCCGCGCGCAAATCCGTTTATTTCGCAAAATGACGAGAAAAAAAATATGGCTTATAGCGCCCTTTTTCCGCTCACACATATTACTCGCGCTTGGCGCTCTCCATATTATATAATTCAATCTTTCGTGCTGTTTAAAGCGCAGCTTAATGGATATAGATAGAAACATTAGCCAGAGATGTCTATTTTATATTTCAATGGAGTTGTTACAACGTACTAAATGTACGCGGAAACGTTCACGGTAACGCGACTTTGGCAAACGCGCAAATGTACATGAAACAATGGCGCGTTCAAGATTTCTCAGGAGAGAAACCGGATAAAAGCTCCACACGCGCGCTCTTCATTATACTATTATTATTATCTCTTATATAATTAATATTATTCTGGATATGGAATGTGAAAATCTCTGTAGAATCCGATCCCTTCGGGTAGACGATTTTCCTCGTTTGAGCACGCTATCAAGTGTGCCCTACGAAACCGGAACGTTTCCGTCACTGTCGTATCGTCTATCTCAAATTTCAAGAAAGAGAAGAGAGAAACTCAAAATTAAAAGAAAGGGAAACGTTTTGCAACGCAAGGCGTGTGCGGCGAGAATGCCTCATAACGCAATGATAACAGATAAATGTCTAAGTATATTAGACATTTAAGTATATTAGGTATCTTTATAAGTAATCAAGTATTTCGAAATATAACAAACATTTAATAGTCTGCAGACAAAACTTTTAATCAGTGATATACTGAGTTAATGTGATAAGTGCAAATAACATAAGAAAATTCTATTTATACGCCGCAACTAGAAATTGCGGCAAATAAGGCTCGAGATATTCATAACATTTATATTTAAGATTGTCTTGAGTTCATCTTTAGATGTTCAACAAATAATGAAAATGAATTTAAAACAATCTTAAATATAAGATGCGACTATGAATGATATAGGACGACTAGGAGTTGTGTAAATATTTGATTACTTACTAAGTTGATTATTTGGTTATTAAAAGAAACACATGTATAGAGTGAGGCGATAACTGTTATTCTTTGTGAAATATCTCTTTAAAATATCTCTTTGAAATATCTCTTTAAAATATGAGAAAAGAAAAATTTACTCAACAAACTTTACATGCACGGAAAAAAATTTGGTTCAATTAAATAAATTTCTGGTGAAATATGAACGAACCGGAATATTCCGATTGATGTTACCAGAATACTATGTCTAAGTTTATCAGAAATCTTGTTAAATCGAACAGTATTCTTGGAACTTCAATCTGAATTTCCGCACTGACACTTTTCCATTTGATGTAGAAACGATTGCCTTATCAAACTTTTCTTCTAAATGAAATAGCTTGGAAAGTTTGAAAGGCACCTTTGCTTTTTTTGAAATGAAGTATGCAAGGTGCTGCACGGAGAACAAAGAGCCTGGTTGAATTAACGTGACATGTTTGGTTAGGCAAGTTTAGATGAAGACAAACAGACTTTCTGCTTGTTACAATGAGGTATTCTAATATGCAACCAGAACATTTATAATATCGATCAAAATTTGATTACTGCATATGTGTAGTAATAACATCCACGTGTCTGTGATTATTATGATTACACGCGAGAAGAAAGCAGGTTAGATTAACGTTAGATGTTTGATTAAACGACTATTGGTTGAACTAAGAGAATTTCTGGTTATTATAATCACATATTCTAGTATTCTCATCGTTTGTTACAAGGTAGACAATATATAATAGATCTATAAATTAGAGACACGTGTGCACGTAGATAGACGATTTAATATCCGGGTGTTCCGGGTTTTAAAGTTTATCAGGATAAAGGCAAGTTCTTCAAATACAATGTAATATTGAATCAATTGGCTAATCTCAAGTAAAATAATCACACACTGACGCTTTAAGAAACGACTAAAAAAGTAACAAAATTCTTAATAAAAAATGTGATTATAATTTTATTGTTGTAACACCAAACTTGCCTGGTTACTTTACCAAAACGCATGTAACCAAATTTGTCTGGTTATCTTAACCAAAATTACGATTCGTTCAGTTCTCACCAAACAGTCTGGCTCATGTATCCTGAATTCAGATTAATTCAACCGATTTTTTTCCATGCACATATGCTTTCATGAGAAATTCAATTTAAGAGACACGTCAGCGCGCGGTAGAAAGCTCCGAATTGATTTTAATACACTGAAAAGACTATTTTTCTATTTGGAACTAAAATATTTGATACGTATGATTTGATTGGCATCATCATGTTTCTACTTGTATTAAGTATATGTATTATTGTTGAGAAAACAAAACACACGTATAGCGACAATTACATTTTTTGGTTGCAATTGCCAAACATTTGGTTGCTTCAACTTTAACCAAATGATGATCGGATGTACCACATGTGTGTTAAACGGTGCGTCAAACGATGTTTTCGTTCCGACAACGAAATCCTTCTTTCAGTGTAGTCCATTTCGGGGACATCGATTGTGTTCTCGGAAGAATAACACGCGCAAATCTGCAAACAGCGTTGTGTAGCTCGTTCATTTCTCACCAAGCAGCCTGGTTAATGTATCCCAGGGGTCGATCATGAATCTTTTCCCCTAGCGAACTCGTGAAAGGTGAAAGATCTAATCTTGGAAATATACGGAAACGTTCACTTTTCAGGAGTTTACATTGGAGGAGAAGATTCATGATCGCCTCCAAGTATTGCAAAATTGTATACTTCTCATGATTTTATACGAGTGAAAAAAAGTACATGATAGTTAACTGAAATTGAGTTCTCGTGGGAAGGTTCATGATCGATGCTCTTCAGATTGATTCAAGCAATTTTCCATGTAATAGTTGTCGTCTCACTCAGCATATCTCGCTCTCCCAATCTATCCTTATCTCTTTCTCTCTTTCTCTCGCTCTTTCTTCCTTCCTCTTTTTCTCTTCGTAAACGCAAATACGTCTAGACCCGCGGCGGAAACGGCGCGCGCCGCGATGATCGACAAGAAGAGCCATGAAATATCGCACCTCTTAATTTTTCCAGGCTCCCCTGTCGGCGCACTACATCACCGGCGGGCCGAACGGCGCCATGGCGACGGTAAAGCGCACGTCCGCGGTGGGTACGTTAGCGACGCACGTATGAGGCCAGGGGATCTATCCGAATTAGAACCGTCGATACTCGGGCCTAACTGAAACTACCTTCGAGCCTGGCCGTGCCCTCGAGACGCCCGGGTGTGTGCGCGCGTGGCCGAGCGCGCCGGGGTGGACGCGCGACGCGCGTCTCGCCGACTCGCAGCGGGCTCGAGATCGTTACGAGAGCCGTCACGAGGCCGCGCGTCACATAGCGGCGGAGGAGTGCGAACGGCTGCTGCAGGCAAGGCCGCGGGACAGAGGTCACGGCGGGGTCACGGATCGAGCACAACGAATGGCCGAGAACGGCGAGGCGCTCAAGTACATCGAGCTGGTGCTTCGGCAGCTGCGGAGGGCCAGCAGAGACCACCAGCGACTCGTGCAGCAACGCCACGCGGAGTTCCGTTGCGGGATCGGCGAAGGGTCGAGGTCGCGCCACGAGGACCTGGTCGAGCTGGCCCACCAACGGCGGGACAGTCGCGGGAGTCCGGCGGACGCGGCCCGAATGTGGTCCCGCTCGTCGAGCGGCCCGTGGCAATCGGACATGAGCTCGGGGGAGCTCGCCGGCCGATCGCGCGACTGTCCACGGCCGGACGTCACGACGAGGCTGCTGACGAAGAGACGGGATTACGGCGGAACGGCGCAGAGCACGGCCGGGATTCCGAGGGCGGCTGTTCCCGGACACGTTCAAGACGGGATCGCCGCTTATCAAGACCTGAGGTATGCTCCCGAGAACGTCGGCTGCTGGGAGGACGCGCAAGAGACCTTCGGCGCGTGGAGCCTGCCCGAGACCCCGTCGAGCAACGACAGGAGGACGTCCTCCACCCTCGTGTAGCGCGCGACGGGACTGGCGCTTTGTGAGAGACGACGAATTCAATTTCACGAAAGCCATAAGGAGAGCGCGGTCACGATGACGGGAAGGCAAGGGAAGGTATCGATGCGGAAGCGTCTACGATCGTCTCGCGCGCTCGTGTTCACGATATGCTTGCGCTACTTGAAATCAAACTAATGCCCGCCGCCGGTGGTGACACACACTGAAGGTGGCCGGGGAAGGTGGCGGCAAGGACGCCGATATATCAAAGGGAAGACGGACGTACTCTCCTCTTTTGGGTCAATAAGATTAGATTTAGGAAGAGAGCGCCGCGCGCGAGTAGTAGTGTGCTCGGGGGATTCGTGAGTACGAAGGGCGATGGTTGGGTTCGTGGATCGAAGGTACTCACTTCGGTCGGTGCGAAAACAGACCACTCGGTATCGACAATCTTCTATTGACGTACTTTAGATCTTCTATTAAGCATTTAATAAGACTCGTTCCGTGGCGCGAGAGAGCCGACGAGGATCCTACTGCGAATCACGTCGCCAATTGTTGCTGTCGCGGTGGTGGCCGAACGTGGACGGGAACGTATTTGGGCATACCATGATATCGACTGCGCGGGTGTTCGCGCGGAAGGCGACAGGAAGACGAGGGTCCGGGCTCTGTTCCCGGGAGCTGAAGCCGCGACAGGCCGCTTCACGATGGATGCCGCTTTCTTGGTAATCCGTAAGAGACGCGAGCTCAAGCTGGCTTTGCGTCTGACGTTTGCAGCGTGACAGTTCTGTCCGACGCTTCTTCCCTCGTCAGCGGGGCACGCGCGCCGACAGGGCGGCGCGGAGAATGGCGACGCTCTCGCGCGAGCCTGCTCTCATTCCCTCCTCACAAATCGATCTCGATCCGACGATTTTCAATATCAATCAGAACGCGTGACACGCGTGCTTCGGCTCTCGAAAAGAGATGCCGAATAAATACGTTCTATAAAGTCCACACTTGACAAAGTGTATGAAAAAAGAAGAAGGACGAAAACGAGGACACTTTTGGAGGACAATTTTATGTCTCCCTAGGAAAGAGAGTTCGCGAGTGAGAAAGAGAGAAAGAGAGAGAGAGAGAGAGAGAGAGAGAGAGAGAGGACTCCTCGTCGTCATGCCTCACGAATCCGCGCCGCCATCTCTGCTCATTAGCGTGGCTCCGCTGTGTAATGCGTATAACGTTTAAGAATAAAAAGAATCTTTCAGCGTTTACGTTACGCGACCGTAATGCCAACTAACACAGACGCAAAGCCTACACGCCGTAATGAGGACCGTCGTCGGCCACCACCAAGACCTTTACTGTGTCGCGCGAGCGAGCGCGCGCGCTGCCTTTTTGTATTTTGTAGGGGAAGAAATAGGGAAGAAAGAGATATTAGCTCGTATATAAGGCATCTGTTCGTGCAGCATTTTGCGGACGGGCGCGCTAAGGGACAAAGACGTTTGCGGACGGTCGCGCACGCGTCGTTCGCGCGATTCTAAATCGCGCGCGGAGCGCGCTGCGACTTCTCGCGCGTTCTCCTCCGGCCTCAAGTTCCCCACGTGCGACGGACAGGTTAGCAGCGCGAGGGGTGGGCGCGAGGGAGGAAGAGGGGCTCGACCGTGTGTTTTGCGGTTGTTCGCATTTGTAAAATAGATAGCGAAAAATCTCATATTAGGTATATATATATATATTAAATATATAAATATATATTATACACCTGTTGTCAATATATGAGCATAGGGCCTATATATAGTTCGACGGCACTAAGAGAAGCGAATTCTATTAAAATAAGCTCGTTCGCGAGATGGGACGGCTTCCTGTAAATAACGATAAATGATTATATTATGTGCGTGTAAGAGTAACGCGCGCGCGAGAAAAAAACACACAGATACATACACACACAGACGCATACATACACACACACACACGGAACGGCGCGACGTCCTTTCGACGTGTGTTCGCGGTTTCGTGTGGCGCGTTTCTCTCCTCTGTTCCCCTTCGAAGAAAGAAAGGGGAAACGAGGAGGGAGCAAAAAGCGCGCGCGCAATCTCACTTATGACGCGTTAAGTTATTGTTCTTGTTTTTCTCATATCTGTCCTTTCCGCTTCGATGCGCCCCAGTTCGTTCCCGAGGAACAGAGGAAGATGCGACGTTCATCCGAAGAATCCGGGAGAAACCCGTCGTATTTAGAATTCTTTCTTTGTTAAGTCTGACTAGAAGCTATATATATATATATATATATATATATATATATATATATATATATATATATAATAAAATAAA